CTACATATGCCTCTCTTCTCTTCCATTTCACAAACTATCCGTACGTCTTCATCTTCCACATACACCAACATCACCTGCATGGACTTCTCTGAGATTTGGCTCACCTGCTAGCTCCTCGATCCCTTTTCAACCAATAACACGCTTCTGATTCTTCTCAGCTCCATCTCTTTGAAGCCTTCAGCAACTCTAATCATAAGTCAATTTTGTTAATCTCTCTTTCTTTGATACCAAAAGATGAAAAAAAAAATCCATGAATCTTGGTTTCCTGTTCTATTTCTTTTTTTCAAAATTTGAGTTATCTTCTATAGGTGAAGTTGATAGAGTATAGAAAGATGGGTGCATCACAACAAATTTATCGATATTTCCACTTGATCCAAAGCTTGATGGTTTCAAAGGAGAATTTGTGGCTTTTGCTGCTTTACTAATCTGATATTTTAGTAGAGTTATCGGAGAAAAAATTTGTAAGAGTCCAACTTCTATGTTGATGGAACTGTAATTAAGTAGCTCCTTTGAGGGTCACATGACTTACTTAACGTCACTGCTCATGGTCTGGATTCACCTGAATCTGATAATTTAAATCGAGATTATCCAAAATGAGAGCCCATTCTATCAAAAAACTTTGTTACATTCATCTAAAAAAAATATGGATCATCTTTAAATATTATTAGAAGCCACTAAACAAGAATAGACATTAATTGGACAGCAAACCCTGTATCAACCTCATATTCCATCAAAGTTTTTCAACTGGTAAGGTTTGGCGCGCTCAGTTAAAGAATAAAAACCTATTCGGGAACCTCATGTAGCAACTTAAGCTTTTAGGTTTTTGGATGATTGTCTGAGAGGCTAAGGGAGTATTATGTAGTGTGGATGAGAAATTGGTGGGTGTAGACTCATCCATACCACACGCTATGGCATGGACTAATCTACACCACACCACAGTCCATAGCTATTCTGAATAAGGCTGCAACTTGGGCCGGGTTGATCCAAATTCAACCAAAAAATCGGGTCGGGTTGATGCTCAGGTTAGGGTAAGAGTTGGAATTTATGAATCCGACTTTACTTAGGATTGGGTTAGGGTTAATCCCTTGGGTAACCCGGCCCAGCCTGAACCCGACTCTATAGCCCCCACCAAATATAGGACCGCTTGCCTATATTTACTTAAGATTGAACGGGTGGATGGTTTGACCGCTAGGGTCAATGGGTTGTTGACTTTTTCAACGGTTTTTGGCCAAAAACCGGGTTTGGGGTAAAATAGGACTACTTGCCTAGATAGTTCTAGGGTTGAACAGTCTGACTGTCCAGGTCAACGACGTTTCAAAAACCTTGATTTACACAGTTAATTATATATATATATATATATATATATATATATATATATATCTAATTTTTGCATTTTATATGATAAATATATTGAAAAATGCATAAGTTAATTAATATTAACCAATAAATATTAATTTTTTATAAAGACAATAGTAAAATAATTAAAAATTTTAAAAATATATTTTAAATATTGAAAATATAATTTTATCGATAAAATATTAAAATTAAAAAAAATAAAATAATTAATATTTTATTGACAAAAATATTAAAATGTGAAACAGACAATAACGTAGCCTTTCAAAGAAAGTATGAAATAAATGATCAAAAATCAAATGTGAATGATCCCTAACCCGTAGATGAGAAATTAAGATGTAGACGGGACTTGTCTACAACCGAATGCGACCAAATGATCTACACGATTCCGAACAACTAAATTAAATAGAAATTAATGATGAATCCAACCCAATCCTATATAGGGTTACAGCAGTCGATTCCAATCCATCCCGCCCTGTGAAATTCAGAACATTACCCCTATATTTAGTGAAATAATCAAGTAGGAGAGAGTTACACAACACTATCAAAAGCAACATTACAACACCCATAACAATAGCAATATGGAAAAGGAAGAAAGATTTGTCTTACTGGTGTCAACAGGTCAATCGGTCAGGTTCCCTTTTTTTTTTTTTGATAAACAGGTTCCCTCAACTTGAAAATATGATTGTTCATCACCAAAATAGGGTTGGGTTACGATTAGGTTTGGGTTGATCATTTAATCCGGCCGCAGATTTATACGATATATATGTATGTATATATGATATAATATATTACTATGAAATATTCAATTTTATAATTATGATCATAAAAGTAAATTAAGCCCTGGTGCAGGACAGGCAGGCCTCAAAGTGTTAATGCCTTGTAAAAACCTTCATCCCCAGTCAACGCAGGTTTTACAGTTAATCGGACTCATTAACAGTCCTAAATCTATCTCTATCGACCCCACCCCTTTATCAAATAATAGACCCTATGTTTATGAATTTAGATCAGGCTGGTCGGTTGGACTGTTGACCCAAACCTATATCTTATTTGGTCATACCTTAAAAAACCAGAATAGATAGAAAATCGCCCAAAACAGGCTAATTGACCAATTTGAACCCTTGGCAATTACTTCAAAAATCAAACAACTCGCCATCTGTCCACTATATTCAAATATTTTATTATTTGTATAATATATTATTTATAATATTTTTTTAACTTGTAGTATATATGTATATTTCATGTCATCATGATTTGATATTCAGTTTAATTGGCTACTTGGTTACGAACCTCTGTCCTGTGAATTTTTTTCTTTTTTTCGTTCTTTGTCTAATTTAGGTGGCATTCGGTAGTGTAAATATTGTGGACAAGAATGATTCTATTCACGGTAAGATATGGTGTTTTGCTACGTGTGGATAATCCCCGTCTATAAAATAGGATAAGGATGGGACACACCCCAATTGATCGTCCATAGTATTTTCTCGTAGATGGTCCATAATATGGTGTAGACAGTTTGTGGGAAAGTCAATGTAACGCACATGTGTTACACTGGTCCAATTACTCTCATTTTATTTAATCTTTTTATAATTTTTAAATTTTTAACTTTTTAAATTTTATCAATAAAATAATAATTTTTAATGTTAATTCTAGGACAAGTCCGACGGTTCTCCTTCTCAATTATTTTCATTATTTAAATATTAATTTTTTAATATCTTTATTAAGAAAACAATATTTAAAATATTGTTTTATTTTTTAATATTTAAAATAATATTTTTTTTAATTATTTTAAAAATACAATTGTATTTCTACATATTGATGCCTTTTTTTTTCAATTTATTGACCATATAAAATACAAAAATTAGAGATTTATGACTGACTCTATAGATCTCCCATAATTTCTCATCCACGCCTATAAAATGCAAAAATTAGAGATTTAGGATTGTGTGGATCGGACCGACTTTGTAGATCTCCCATAAATCTGAATCTTGAGATCAATGGTTTGGTAATCAATGGTGAAAATAGATTGGATTTCATCACCTCATTGCAAAATTCCACCCTTCTACAAGTTTTTTCTGTTGCTACAAACCAACTCACTGGTCCTATTCCCTCCTCCATAGGTGATCTCCTCAACTCAGCTTTCTCTGCTAGTAATGGGTGAAAATCACCTTCAAGGAAATATACCAAAAGAAATTGGGAATCTACATGGTCTCATAATGTTGTCTATAGAATCAAATTCCTTAACCAGGAACATTCCTTGAATGTTTGAAAACCGTTATTTTTGTTGTAGCCATTTCACCTAACTTCATTGAAAAAGACAATGAACATTATAAAGAAAAAAGGTAGTTTGGACATTTAAGAAACTTTAAACAATGAAAATTTTTTTAAAGTTAACTGGCAGAACATTAACAGAAGGAGGTCTCTGTCTAACGGCTAAAGTTTAGAAGGGCCTTTGTCGCAAGAAAAAATATAGGCGGGACTTTGTCATTGACCCCATACTACAAGTTAATTTACCCAAAAATAAATTGAAAAAGATTTTCATTCAGTTATTTTATTTTTTTTAATTGCCAAACTATTCTTTCCTCACTTATTTTGAATAATTTATGATTTGATTAATTTTTGGGTCATTTACTAAACACCCCCTATAGTTTCATGAATACCTTATAGTTTGTGTTTGACTAAAACATCTCCTATAACTTGCAATCAATTTACTTAATTGACTTTCCATTATATTAAAGTTGAAAATGACAGTATTAACACTAACATCCATTCAAATAAATTTAACCAAACTCAACTAAAAACAAAGAATCCATTTTTTCTCCTAGTAAAACATGGACAACCACTCTATTTTTCTCAATTTGGTCAATTTTGTTTTTCTATACAAAAAAGTGTTAGGGGTACTTTTGGAATAAAAAACCATGCATCCATACCCTTGAACATTTTCCACTTAGTTTAGGGGTAATTTTGGAATAAACAACCATGGGTACATTTCCCACCTAGCTTAGGTGATCATATTATTATTTTCATATGGCAAAACAAGTAGTTCTTAATGAAAGGTTGATTAAGTAAATAGGTTACAAATTATAAGAGGTGTGCTAGTAAAATGCAAACTATAGGGTAAGTTTAAGTAAATCTGTGAAACTATAAGGGGTTTTCTACTAAATGACCCTTAATTTTCTAAACATAACATTAAAGTCCTCTCAGTTGTTCCAATAGATCCTTGCAAATTTTTTGTTAGGTTCAATATTCAAATGAAAATGGTAGAGGTTTCCTTCTAGTGGATATAAATTTGGTTTTATTTGGTTTCTCTTAATTTATTAAAGAAAGGAGTAGATAATTTTTATATTTTTAGATGAAAAGAAACATTCATATTAGTGAAATTAGTGAAATGAATTAAGAATTAGAAAAGAACTTTTATATACCAAGAAATGGAAGTATTTTCGTTCAATTAGGGTTTAAGAGAAAAGTGAAGGAAAAGAAAATAAGGAAAATTTTGGTAATTTGACGTATTCTGTCATAATTTGACGTATTCTGTCATCTAACATAGAGGTGAGGGGGTTTTTGTCGCAAATTGAAAATTAGGGGGTTTTTATTGCACATAAAAGTTCAGGAGCTATTTTGTCACTCCATCCCATAGCAGAAAGGGCATTTGTAATTTAGCCAAAAAAACCTAGCGGTGGTGCCAAGGAGGCTACGAACCAAGGAAAGAGACCAGATTTCTTTGCCTGTTTTAAGTTTAGCGGGGAAACCTCCACATTTAGCAGAGAGGCATGGGAAACGAAGAGAAGAAACCCAGATTTCTCTGCCTTCATGGTTTCAGAACAAGCGCCAAAATTCTCAGAAAACAGGTCGGAAAATGGCCGGAATCTGTGCTCGAGAAGATGGATCTCGTATTCGTCGACGCTCCTTTCCCTGCCGAAGGAAAATCCGATGTCGAGGGGATTTTCGATCCTCCGTATTTGGAATGGTTTCAATTCGACAAGGTTAGATTTGTTATTCTGAATTCAATTCGCTCTTTTGTTTTCTTCTGCAACGTCATGGATTCAGTTACAATTTCTGTTTCACTTTCCATTGTTTGTGTTTAGGAATTTGTGCAGTACAGGAACTTACAGGAGTGCCTTCAATACATCGAGGATTATATGATCAAGCACGGACCATTCGATGGCCTACTAGGTTTTTCCCAGGTATTCCGCATATTGATTCATCGCCAAAAGTTTTATTCCATATATAACTTTTTTTTCTTTTTCCATTGGTGTCGATTCTAACGTTGTCGTTGTTTGTTGTTCTTGTTCACGAACATTATAGGGAGCAATTCTCTCGGCTGGTTTACCGGGTCTGCAAGCGAAGGTAACGCCTCTGCAAATTCAAAGTCTATGCTTTTTCTTTTTTTTTTTTTTCCTGGATCTAAATAAAAACAGTGGTTGGAAAATAAAATCTTAATTATTTACTGGGATTTGTTATCGGATTAAAGACTTGACTTATTGATGGCAGGGATTGGCTCTAACGAAGGTCCCCAAGATTAAATTTCTGATAATAATTGGAGGGGCAAAATTTCAGTCGCCAACAGTGGCGGAGAATGCATATTCGTTGCCCATCGAGTGTCCTTCTCTTCACTTTTTAGGTAGGTACTTTTCGCCTTTAGTCCATCGGGCTCAGAGATCCTGGAATCACGTGCTCCCTATGTTTTCAACCCTTGGATTGGAATCCTGGTGGTTGGTTCGACCATTGTGATGATTGACAAGTGGTCTCTGAAGCTTTAGGAAACACATGTTTCTCTGTGTGGCTAGAAACTTTTATACGTGTTTCCAGTTTCCCCTCACAAATACAGTAAACACGTGTGAGAACTGAAAACGAATATTTTTTTATTTCAACACCGACATTGATGTCGAACCGGAAAGTTGTTCCATTTCCGGCTTGACGATTCAACCGGAAGATCACCTCCTGGTGACTGGTGTAACGATAACAACGTCGGAACCCGTGGCCGTGATCCATTCACATTCAGACTGTTCACCAGACCGGCCGTCAATGGGGATGTGATTTGAGATAGTCCGGAGACGGGCCCCTAATTTAATCAGTCAGCCAGTTTTATAAAAAAATGTCAAGGAACATTTTTAGGAGTGTTTCAGATTTCGTCTTGTATACCGTTGCTGTTAATTTTAAGCATGGTTCCCTCTGTTTTCACTGTAAAAGGGGCAGGAATATTTTCAATCTGTAAGCTACTCAAGCTGAGTTCATGGCTGCACACTAAGTGAGTCCCTTTGAACTTAGTTGTGGGCAACATAACTGGTGTCCAAAAAGTTGAGAGGAGTCATCAGTTGAAACTTTAGACTGAGTTTGGCATCTCCAACAAAAAAAAAAAAAACAAAAGAATATTTAAACTGTTGCATTTATATGGCATCTGCAGTAAACAAGTTTACATGAAATGAAACATATTCCAGGTGAGACAGATTTTCTGAGACCACATGGGACTAAACTCTTGGAATCATTCGTCAACCCTTTCATAGTTCATCATCCCAAGGGGCATACCGTCCCAAGACTTGGTAATTGAACATCTTCTTTTATTTTTAATTTTCCCCCTTTCTCTGGATAATTTTCTTTATTGCAAATGGGTTGCTTTTTGATTATTCTCATTTTTTCCTTATCTTTTGTTTCCAATTTTTTCCAGATGAAAAGAGTCTAAATATTATGCTTGATTTCCTCGAGAAGATCCAAAAGGCAATGTCTTGCAACGGAACTGCTGATGACAAAAAGGAGGAAAATGCCAAACCAGCAAATGGATGTTTATGGAAATGCCAAGACTTCCCACAAAGTTAGTAAAGATGTGGCATATGAGCCGGAAGACAAAGCATATATTTATTCTGCTTTTTTTTTCTCCTACTGGATTTATCATTTATCTCTATGGGAATGGGATTCCCCATGTCAATTATGACATTATGCAAGTAAATGACAACCATGATTTTCGGTTACCCCATTAAAGTGGAAACCTTCTTCGTCAAGGGTTGGAGATGAGAGGGAAAAAGCAAGTGAAACTGAACCTGTTTTCTTCTATTCAAAAGTGAGAATATATTAGGAATCGGTGTAAAGCAAGAATGGTGTAAAATTTTTTAGAGGCTCGATTTTATAAATTTGTTATATTATTTATTTTTTATAAAATATATATAAGATGAAAATAATTAAAAAATATTTGTATTTTTTTTTGTTTTTTCTTTATTTAAATTGGTATATTTTATTTTTTAAATAGTTTATTAATTTTTAAAGAAAACAATTCGGATCAAATCAGATCCAATGATCTGATAGGATTCGAACAGATCGAGTCCTATCAGATCCGATCGAATTTTTGGATCAGATTGGATTCGAATAATCCATGATTCAAATTTGATCTGATCCGTTTGCATCTCAAACTTAAACCTCCCTTCAAATTACTCATAAATACTAAAAAATCTAGGGGTGCAACCAAGGTTCAAAAAATTGATACAATACGCCCTATATCGGGCGTATCGTACCGTATCTTTTGTGTTTTGGGATTCCACCCTTTTTTAATAAAAAAAAACCCTTTTTAACTCTCCAAAAACCAAAATTTAAAGAAAAACTAAAAAAAAAAGGTTATACGTTTGAAAGAATTTGTATTTATATTTGGCTATGATGTTAGAAAGACATGATACTGGAAAAATGACTAATTTGGGGGTATTCATCAAAATTCATGGAATGGTTTGATTGATCCAAGTTTTTTTAATGCCCCATCTTTCCGATACACATCAAAATTTTATTGAATTTTATAAATAGAATTAATTGAAAATAAGTATAAATTTCATTTACAAAATATACATGTACATATTTTATACATATGCACATGCATACTTTATAAATAAAATACATATATATTCTTTTCGGGCAGGCTCGTGTTGGGTTGAGCCTGAACTGGGCTGGGCCAGTCTTGGGTCAGGCTTAAATCACCTGAGGCATCAATTCAAATATAACTCAAATTTAGCTCAGGCCTGAGTTTTCTAGTCCAAGCCCGACCTGCAGTCCAAAAACTTAGACCAACCTATGCGAAAACTTGGCATGGATCAGGTCAGGGTCGGGTTGGAACCGCCCAAGTTGCGCACCCCTACTAAAACCTCCCCTTTCATTTGAAAAAGGAGCATGTGTTCCGTTCTCAGATTACATCACCGGGTAAAGACCTCCCATCCCTAAATAATATGTCACCTCCATTTATATGTGACTAGCATGTGACTAAATTTTTTTCAGAAACTCAGTTTAGTCCCTTTTCTTTAACTTCATCAGAACTAAAAATTGTTCACAGTTTACTTCACTGCTACAACTCCGGGTTCGTCAAAACTCAAAAGCCCTCGCACAAGCCAAATGCATAGTGGAGCAATAATTGAGTTTCATGACCTTTTAGAATGGGTAAGAGTAGAAGTGTAAATCGGAAACGCTGCTGTCTGTGGCTCAGTCCAATAGTCCACGGGCCGTGACAGGTTTGGGGTTTCAAGTTAGTGGGTCGGGCTAATACGGCTCACTCTATCGTACCATGCTGCCCATAGCCTGTGGGTTGGCATGGCCCGGCCCACACACATACATACTTTTTCAAATTTTTAAATAACTTTGATCTGATCCACAACCCGGCTCAGACCAAGACTCAATCCACGGACCGGCCTGGTCCAGCATGACCCCCTGCGGGCTCAAGCTGTGGGCCATACCAGACCAACCCTCCAAAATATTCTAAAAGAGGGAGGTATGGCCCGGCTTGCACTATCCATGAGCTGCTGTGGGCGTGTCATACTAACCCAGCATGGCCTGTTTTACACCTCTAGCTAAGAGAACAAATCCGTAGCCCTTTTCATCTCCATGATCTTATGCATCATTAAGTCATTTTCGGTTTTAATAATGCCTTATATCTTATCCTACTTCTACAGCTGATTTTTTGTTGTACACACCATTTTTTGGTGTGGGAGTGAAAATAAAATATGGGCAAAAACTGTGATTTGGCCCTCCTTTTGACAATTGCACAAGTATAGGCTGCAACTAGGGCTATCAATGGACCAGATATTGGTCTAATTCGGTCTGGTTCACTATGAATCTTTTACAGATGGATCAGGTCCAATTCGGACCATTTTGGATTGATCCAGTTCAATGTTTGGACCGTCCAAACTATTAAAATTGGTTGTAATTTAGATTGGGTCCAACTCAGACCCGGTCCATTAAAATCCTTACTCTTATCTTATATCTATGGACAGGATATTGTTTCAATCCGACCCCACCTGCTATTTATCCATTACAAATGGATCAGGTCCAATCCTATCAAATAAATACTTTATACCATTAAGTTTGGATCAGTACAATCTAATGTCTTATTAGTTTATTTATTCAATTCAAATTAATTTTAAATGGTATATTTTTTTCTTTTCACTTTTTTTTTTCTCAAAAGGACTTGTGTCTAATCAGGATCTGTAAATCATGCTGTTCCGGGCCCGGCCTGTCACTGTAGGACGTGGGCCATGCTACATCACACATCAATTTTATATATATATATATATATATATAATTTTATTATACAATTTTATTTCAATTATATTGTAATATTTTTTTATTCTATTTTATTATTTCATATATAAACAATTGTATATCTCAAAATTCACACAAAATAAAATAAGTTTTTTTTTTTTAATTCTTTGTCTATTTTGTAAATTTATTATAAAATTTTCATTACTTTTTTCAAATTTTTATAAAAATGCCTCTCATTGCCTGGACTAGTCCAAGGCTGAGCCCACAGCATGGCATGGCCCAGCATGGGCTTTCCATGGTTCGTGTCTGGCCTGACATCTAAAGTCATGCCGTGCTGATTCAGCAGGGCCCAATTTACACCTCTAGCCTAATCTAACCTATATTGGTAGCAGGGTATATAATTGGCTTATAAGCTTATCCAACCCCTTACGCTCTTTGGGCCAAAACCCAAAAGATAAATTCATATACAAAGAAAAAAAAATCTGATTCAAATATTCCCCAATTTCCCCAACCCCTGCTTTGTGGCTTTGTGGCTTTCTCACGGTGAGAAGTCCACTGTATCTACTGGAGTTGAGTGAAGCTACTACAGAAGTGAGAGATGGAGAGCTTGCGACTCACCGTATGAAGTGGTTAGACACCCCAATTTGTTTTTGTTTTAGAAAACAGAATTTTGTTGGTTTCAAAAAGTATGCCTTGTTTTTTAAAACAAAACAAACTTGTTTTGACATCTGAAAACAAAAACAAAGTTCACGAACATGTTTTTGTTTTATTGCTGAATGACAATTTTGAAAACAAATGAAAACAAAACCAATCATAATGTCGAACACCCCTTCCCCTTTAATAGAGAGTGTCCTGATAACTACCGAAATTATTATGACCTTCAGTGTAGAATTTGATTTCAATTCTAAACAGAGATTTCTAATTTCTATATATACCATGGATCTTACTGACTATGGAGCTCTCTTCCTTTACTGGAAGTGGTGATGATAACCTCCGATGGTACGTGCTTTTAGATCTGGGGTGTGCTCCTACATGTGTTGTGACTAATCCACGGCAATTGTTCATTCAGGCTATTGTGGAGAAGGTGGAAGCTCTGGATGCAGACGTGTGAATCCATTTTTTCTGGTCAAAAGGTGGGAATATCTGGTGATTGATTGTCTGTAGGGGTGGCAACGAGGTGAGATTTTTACGAGCTATTCAAATTTGGTTTGGCTTGGTTTCAGTCAAGCTTGAGTCCAATCCAACGGCTTGATTAATAAACGACTCGAGCTTGAACCTAATAGAGCTCGGCTTGGGAGGTTCGTGAGTCGGTTCGAATATATATATAATAAAATTATAGAAAATAATATATATATAATAAAAATATTATAATTATTAATTTTTAAATATAAAATATTTTTTATATATAATTTTGATTTTTATAATAAAATATTTATAAAATATATAATAAATATTTTTATAAAATATATACTGAGCCGAGCCGAGCCGAGCCAAATTCGAACTTATGAATTTTTTATTCGAGCCAATCTCGAGCAAGAGCCTTGTAGAATAGTCTCGAACCGAGCTCAAGCCTGATACTATTCAAGCTTTTGCTATGACGGTTAATAATCTTGTTTTCTCGTTTATTAGGCCTAATTGTGTGTAATATTGTAACTAATAGTTTCGTTGTTTTTTATTTTATCTTCTAATGTGTTAGGGAATGGTTTGGAGATCCATAACTCAAAATAATAATAAAAAAGTAAGAACCTTCTAACTAACGTTTTTAAAACCGGACGAGATAGGGAATTGTTCTGGAACTGGTTCCTGAGTCAAATGATCTGCTTATTCGGTTTGAATGGATGATGTGTTCTGACAAAAAAATAAATAAAAAATAAAAAACAAAAAAGAAAGACCAAAAAGCATTGTGTAGGTCGACTGTGATTTTAGCCAAAGAAACAACTTTGAAGTAAAACAGAACCAATAAGATAACCGATTAGCGGTTTTTCGGTCCAATCGGCTTTTGAAAACACTGCTTCTAACACAACAACATTTAGCTTGCAGTAGTATAATAATCTTTTTGAGGTGTCCATTGGGCATAACGTTCAATACTTTTATGTAATATGGGAGGTTTTAAAGAGTGGGGAGGTTTAAATGTTTATCAGCAAAGTCAAATAGTCTCTTACTAGGTTAGTTAATTCCAAGCCCGGCCCACATATGAATTAAGGTGGGGCTGGGTCCGACTTGGGCTAACCTATCTTTGTTTGGCCATTGTTTCTTTTTCATTTGTTGGAATTTCTTTAGTCGCTATATATTTTTTTTAATTGGATTTTCTTTTAGTCTTTCTTATTTCTTCCCTTTAACAATCTTATTTTGGCCACATGGTGTTGGTACATGGTAGTACCCTCGTTAGTGAAACTATGTTACAAACTGGACTCATAAGTATATCTATATCTTATATATACTCACAACACAAGGCAGGATCAAAGTGAAAATGGGCCTAAAGCCCATCAAG